AGCCTGGGATATGGCAGCGCTTAAAGCGTAACACATACCTAAGCTTTCCAGCTTGTTTTCGACTTGTCGTGGGGAGGAGGGAGAGGAGGGAGGGGGGGAGGAGGAGAGGACGACCAGGAGGGGGGAGGTCGAGGGAGGAGAGAGCCGAGAGCCAAGAAAGCAGGGCGTTTTATTTTAGAGGGAGGGAGGGGAGGGAGGAGGTAGGGAGGAGGAGGAGGAGGAGGAGGAGGAGGCAGGAGGAGGGAGGTGGGAGGGAGGAGGGGGGGGGGGTTTTGGGGAGGGAGGGAGGGAGGAGGAGGGGATGGGAGGGGGAGGTGGAACAAAAAAACGCGGCCCCACTCCCCCTTGGGCGGGCCGCGAGGTGGCCTTCGCCGCGCTGGCACCGGACCCCCTCAGGACACCGGGGCGCGGCGTGGCCGCGGGCCTGCCTGGGGGGCCCACAGGGGCACGACGACTCGTGCCCCGATCGGCACGACTTGCAAGATCGATCGGGGTTGCTCCAGTTGAATCCTCCTCCTCTCCTCCTCTCCTCCTCCTCCTCCTCCTACCGCATAATCGTCCTCCTACGCCTCCTCATCCTCTCCCATCTCCTCCCACTCTCCTCCCACTCCCTTCCTCATTCTCTTCCTTCCTCTCATCCTGATTCTCCTCCTCCTCCTCCTGCTTTTCACTCCTACTCCTTCTCTACTCCCCTCATCCTCCTCCTCCTCCTCCTCCTCCTCCTCCTTCTCCAACTCCTCCTCATCCTCCTCCTCCTCCTCCTCCTCCTCCTCGCATCGTCCACCGCGGCGCACCAATGCCAGGGGCGAAAGACGGGCGGGACCTCTGCCCGCGGCTGGCAAGGGAGGCGGGGAACATCCTTACTTTTAGCGCGCCGTGTCTTTCAGTATTGTTTAACCGATCGCCATCCCCATGTTCATCCCCGCAGAGACCACCACCAAATTACACCCCCAGTTGGGGATACATCCCTCGAAGCCCGAAGGATACTGCCTATATCCCCATCTAAGGGGTAAATCGGCCAGTGGGGCCCAGCCCACGCTGGTGGGGATGGGGATCGGTTAAACGATACTCAGTCTCTCTCTCTCTCTCTCAGGCCACGGTCCACCTCATGAGTTTGCCTATTGCGGGTCGGCTCTTGGGGTGTTCCTGGTTTGCCTGGCGACTCTTCGAGTCGCATTGCGGATGAGGTTGAGTGGATAGTGCGGCGGTCGGCTGGCTGCGGTAATAATCTAACATTCGGGCAGCTCCAGTCGGCGCAGAGAGGGGAGGCCTTCTCAGAAGGCTCAGAGGGCAGAAACATATTTTAGCCTACGATCTATAAGCAGAGGCACGAGCAGCAACATACATTAACATACATTTCGCACAATGCTATGCGTAAAACGGAGGCTCACAAGACCTCCGATCTTCTGATAAGTTTTCTCAGACTTCTCCGAGGACCCAGACGGCTTCTCAGCAGGCTGGAGGGCTTCCGAGAAGCCCCGCCATCTTCTGAGAAGGCCTGTCCCCTCACACTTCTCCCCCGGGCCCGCTGGCAGATCCAGAAACGCCCAGAGAAGTCTGCATACGTCGTGGAAGATTCGGCGCGGGCTGTGAAGCCGCGAGCGTTGTCAATCCCTCGGCGATGGAGGGGGGAGGGGACGACGCTTCGGCCTTCGCGGCGACCGCCCCCGCTGGGCGCTGTCGGCCCTCATCGTCGTCGTCGCCCTTCTCCTCCTCCTCCTCCTCCTCTTCCTCCTCCTCCTCCTCCTCCTTCTCCTCCTCCTCCTCCTCCTCCCCCTCCCTCTCATGGCCCTGTCAACAGTAACATTGCAGCCACGGGTCGAAGCAAGTTATCCCATGTTCCTTTGCTCCCGCTGGATCTCGCAAAGTCTTGGATTGCCAAGTCCTGCTGCTCCAGGGCCCTGACCCCCTCCCTAGGCGGCAGCTGAAGCCAGCAGGATGGGCACAATGCACACGGGTGACCTCCCCGGCGGGGATCTCAGACCTCCGACGTCGTGATTCGTTCGCAGAGTGAGAGGTCTGGACCCGCTTCCCCGTGGCAAGTTTTCCGTCACGAGCCGTTCTCAACGGTCCAGGAGGCCTCGTCAGGGCCCCCTGTCGGGTGCTGCTAGAAGTGCCCCTGGCTCAAGGTGCCCAGAGGAGGCCCCCACGGCTCCCGGGAAGGGCAAAGACTCCTTGTGCCCAGACATCCGGCGATTTGTTGTTCGATCCGCGGCCCCGGAGCTCCCGAGCGCTTCCACGGGGACAGCCGTGCGTCCCTGGTTCGGTTTCTGATGGCCCCAGGGTCCAGAAATTGCCCCTTAGTCCAAAATCAATGCACAAGTCTTTGTTCACAGATCGTGCTTGCCAGCGTGGGCACGAAACTGTGAGATGTTGCGCTGTGGGTGTCGATGGCTAAGCTATGTAGCGTGATCTGTGGGGTCTGATCGATGCGGGGTGAGCTGTGAGGTGCAAGCTATGTGGTGAAATCGATGTGGTATGAGCTATGTGGTGTAAGTTACGTGATGCAATCGAAGTAGTGCAGCTAGTTTTTGTCACCTCATGAGTCGTCAACTCCCCTGCTCGCGCAATCATCCCACCCTACCACCTGTAACTTGTGTTGCACAACCCATGCGGCCGCGATTGTGGTCACTACTTGGCACTGGCTGGCGCATCTCTGCGGCTGCGCTGGCGCGCGCAATCTCGCGCGTAGAGCGGCCGGCTGTTTAGGCACAGCCGGCGCAGCAGCGATGGCGTTTACGGATGGGAACTTCCCACCGCGTCTCAAAGCCCGCGCTGGCGCGCGGGCTTTACGGTGCGGATTGGTGGTTCGGGCGGGAACGGTGCCATGATGACGTCGGCAACAGCGACAACGACGATGATAGTAGCGATGGTGGTGGCGGTGATAACGATGACGACGGCAAGGTTAATGATGGTGCCGATGCTGTTGACGACGACGTCGACGACGACGACGTTGATGTCAATGTGCCGGTGGTGAAGGTTAATGGCGGCAGTGGTGGCAGTGGCGGCAATGGCGGCGTGAATGACGATGCACAGCTTGGTACGATGAGAATGCGGATTCTGGCCGGGATTCCCAGTGGTTCCCCCATGGTTTCAGCAAGTGCGCGCGGGCAGCACGTTTGCAATATTTGTGATGAGAAACGTAGAAGTGTGTGTGTGTGTGTGTGTGCGTGTGTGGTGCTTTCGTGTTGAATTGTTGGAGCGCTTGCATAATTGAGGTGTTTGGCATGCTTTCGACATGTACGCGCGCGTGTGGAGTTTGTGTGCAAGGTCGGGCATTTTTTTTGAAACACGCGAGTGCGTGCATACTGTTCTTTGACAATGATGCGGGGTCAGGGGTGGGTGCGTGTGTGTGTGTGTGTGTGTGTGCGGGGGGCTGCGATACCCAGTTGGTTGGGATGGTATAATGCAATATACAAAATGAACGATTATGGAGAAACATTTGTACTTTGCAATACTAAAGAGAGGGATAGCCCCAGAAGGGGCGGGTGTTGGAGTCTGTCTGTCCTTTGAACGGAAAACTGCGCCCACGAGGCGGCCACGGACGGCAACGTGGCGAAACCTCAGCGGACCCACCCAGCTCATCATACGACCACGAGGCGGCCACAGCCGACGACAGCCCACGAACACTCCCGAAGCCGGTCTCCGAGGAGTCCGAAATCCAAGAAAGAACGCCGGGGTCCGCACAGGTCACATCATTGAGACCCAAAAGACTCCTCGAGCGCCCGCCTCCGCTCGCAGCAGGCCGTTTTAGTGTGCACGGTGCCCGGCCCTGCTTCCTCAGAAACCCGGAGGGGGCTTCTCAGGAGGCCAGGGGGGCTTGTGAGAAGCCAGTCGCCTTGTGAGAAGGCCCGCCCCCTCTCCACTTCTCTCAGGATGTGGTTGGATTCAGCATCAGCGCTGGTATACCCGTGACCGAAAACCGGCCTAATCTGGCAACGTCTCGCTTTTTACCCGGCGCTATCACGCTTCATCCTGGGCCTCACCAGGGCCAGTTTGGCTTAATGGCCCCTTGATTGGGCTGTATCGCCTTTGAGCCATCACTCTTACGAAGACCTCCCAGGAGTTGCTCCCCGCCCCAGACCCCCGACGTCATGGTTATTTTTCAAAGATGTCGACCCCCAGAGGTCCCGACCCCTTCCCCGGGACCAGCTCCTGATCCCCCCTAGCTTTTGGCAGCCCCTGGGGCCAGCGAGGGCTCCCCCCGAGGCCGAGCAAGAGCAGCCCACGCCCGTCACGCACGTTTCACTACGCGAGGGGGTCTGAGGCCCCCTCTCGCTTCTCCTCTCTCGAAGCAGAACAACCGCCATAAGCATGATGGCGCACCGCGTGGGTTTCTTGGATCCGCGCTGGGCCCCACACCCGGCGGCGCCTCTGGAGCCGCTCCTGGCGCGCTCCGCGCGCCAGGGAGGGGGGATCCAGCGCCGATCCGAGAAATCCGCGCTGAGCGCCAAAAGTTTATGTTCATGCTGCTTCTCCTTCTCCTCCTCTCGGCCCGATTCTCCCCCGCAGGAGGTCTTTCCGGCACGCTCTGAGGAGGCCGCGGCGCCAGAGACATCCTCCAGATCCGCCGGGTCTCAGAGAGATTCTCGACGTATCCCCACGCGATGCTATCCTCGTCCTGGCTGCGTCTCACTTTTTGGTTCGGCGCGCCGCCGACACTCCCTCGCAGGAGGCCCTTCGCGCGCACGGTGCAGGACGATGAGGAGGAGGAGGAGGAGGAGGAGGAGGAGGAGGAGGAGGAGGAGGAGGGGGGAGGAGGAGGAGGAGGAGGGGAGAGGAGGAGGGGAGGAGGGAGAGGGGAGATGAGGAGGAGGAGGAGGAGGAGGAGGAGGAGGAGGAGGAAGGGGCAGAGGAGGAGGAGAAAGGAGAGGAAGGAGGAGAGGAGGAGGATGAGGAGCAGGAGGAGGAGGAGGAGGAGTGGAGGAGGAGGAGGAGGAGGAAGAGGAGGAGGAGGAGGAGGTCCTCCTCTCTGCGCGCCGCCGGTTTCTCTCTCGCAGGAGGCCGCTCGTGTGCACGGTGCCGCCCCTGCTGGCCACGGCCGCCGCCCTGCGGGGCCTGCGGGACGCCTCCGCGGCGGGCCTCCAGGGCGGCAACGCGCTGCGGGTGCTGGCGCTGGGGCTCGCCGCGGCCTTCTCGGCCAGCCTTTCTCGTTGCCGGCTCGAGCCATTCCCAGGGATCGAGCACAACGCTGTTTAGCTTTAATTTTGTTGCCCTTTTCTTGTTTTTCGTTTTTCTCGTCTCTCGTGGTTGTTCTGTTGTCGTTCGTGTCGGTCTCGTTTTCGTTTGGCACCTGCACCATTCTAAACGGTCGTTTGAGATGTTCGGTTTCGTTTCGTTCGTTCCGTTCAAAACTCTAACGCGTGTTTGACATTGTTGTCCTCGGTCGCTGACCAAACCCCCATCCCCATGTTTGGCATCATCTTATTTCGTTGCCGATCTTGAGGATTCCCTCCGTTTCTGAGGGCACATCCCTAAGATTGTCATTGTCTCGGGGTTGCCGGTCTTAGGGATAGGGATGATGTCGAGGCTGGTTATCCTGGTCCTCCTCCCCCGGCTTCGGATCCGCCGTACTTTAGGCGATGTTGCAAGCAGGGGAGAATTCCTGCCCATCTTATTTGGCAGCAGTTTCCGCTATACTTTGCGGAAATGTCAGCCTTCTTTCCTGAGGCGGAAATGTCCGCCCTATTTTTTCGCATCGTTTTGGGTGTATGTCCGACAAGTCGGAAGATCAACTACAACGGCGGGTCCGAAGTCAGGATCGTTCCCCCAGGTTTCTTTCGGTGGGTGCTTTCTCAAAAGAGGAAAAGATACCGATGCCGTTGCTCGTCCTGGAGAGCCCACGTCGCCGCGGCTGGGTTCTCTTCACAATTATATTCAGAATGCGCCTCGGGAGAGGGCCGCGGAGTAGCGGCGTTGGTACCCACTTGTCCTTCGCGTCGTCAAACACACGGCGAGTGTTTCTATGCGTACTATACACATGCATATATGTATATATGTATATATACATGAACCAACACATGTACATGTACACGTGGTTTTAATTCACACATATATCTGCACAGCTGTGTATATTAAAATAGGCACGACGGCCCCAATCAGTGTTTCCACGGAAGGGGTCCTAGCGGACATCGAAGAAGTTGGCGAAAGTAGCAGGCCGATTTCGGTGGGCGGCTCTCGGTGGGTGGCGTTCGGTGGGCGCCCCCTCAAGAGTTTGGCGAAAGTAGCCAGCGAATTTCGGTGGGCGGCTCTCGGTGGGTGGTTGTCGGTAGACTTCCGCTCTCTTTCGATTCTTCTCTCTGTATATCTCTATATATCAGTGTTGTCGGTGGACGTTCCTTCTCTCTCTGTGTGTTTTGTTTTGTTGTTTTTCTTTCATTCTCTCTCTCTCGCTCTCTCTCTCTCTCCTTCTCTCGGTCTCTATCTATATCAGTCTCACTCTTTCGCGTTTTCCCGATACGCAATACATTATGTAATCGTTATGCCTGATGTTTTCTTTTCCGTGGCATGCAATATGTATCTCCCTCTATATTTAATTCCCTCTTTCACTCTTCCTCCTTCCCTCTCTTGGCAGTTAGTTGAACATGTCTCACTCTTTGATACGCATTCCATGATCTAATCATTCGGTCTGTTTTTTTCTCTGTGTGTGTATACACTGCGGCCAGGCATGGTGCTTGCAAAACTTTCGGGCCATCCACTGATTGGGTTCTTTCTCCGGATATATATATATATATATATATACATACACCCCGCAGTCGCGGATAAGAGTGAGGGGGCGGCGGTGACATCAGCAGTTTGCGAGGCTCTGAAGAGGCCCGCTGCACGCCCCTAACTTTTACAAATTATACCTCGCGTGCCGCTGGCGCCGATGTCTCGTTGAAGCAATGTGGGTGGGTCGCGGTGTGGGTCGCAGGTGAGTCGCGGGTGGGTCGCGGGCGGGTCGCGGGTGGGTCGCGGGTGGGTCGCGGGTGGGTTGAGGGTGGGGTTGCGGGTGGGTCGCGGGTGGGTCGCGGGTGGGTCGCGGGTGCGGTCGCGGGCGGGTCGGTCGCAGGGGTCGCGGGTGGGTCGCGGGTGGGTCGCAGGGTGGTTCTCGGGTGGGTCGAGGGTGGGTTTCGGGCAGGTCGCGGGTGGGTCGCGGGTGGGTCGCGGGCCGGGTGTCAGGGTGGACGACGCCAAACAACAACAGCAGCAGCAGCAACAATTACAACAACAAACAACAAGCAACAAGAACATCAAGAATCCGCATCGCGGAATCCCACTTCAGCCACGCACCCAGGAACAGTGAATGACCTTTCGGCCCCATCTATGTATACACCTTATCATAATATGTTTGGCATGTGGGGGCCCTCGGGACCGTCGAACAAAGATTTGGGATGAAACAACGGTCCTGGGGGATTGGTCGAGACCTCTGGGGTTCGACGCTGTGTACAAATCGTGACGTCGGGGATCTGGGCCTCTTCTTCTTTCGGGTGTTTTTGTCGGCTCTCGAGGTTTCTTTCCCATGGCCCAAGGGGCCTTCAGCAGCTGCGCCTCGCCGAGAGCGTTCTGGGGGTGCCTGCCTGCATCGCGTCCCGAACGCCCGCCGGAGCCCCGAGTCAGGGCCAAAAGCTATCTCGTGTCTTCGCCGGACAACGTATTCACAGCGGGTCTTTGGGAATTCTCGGCCTCCAGGGGCCTCGCCGGGCCCCAGGGACGAACTGCTCGGGATGCAGAGGCGGTCCCAGGGAAGAGGACCAGGGGTCCAGACCTCCAGGGATCCACGTTGTGCGTGCTCGTCATGTGTTTTTCCAACTCCTCCTCCTCCTCCTCCTCCTCCTCCTTTCTCCTCCTCCTTCTCTTTCTCTTTCTCGTTCTCCTCCTCTTCCTTCTCTTTCTCGTTTTCCTACCCCTGTCCCCCTGTCCTCCCCGTGCTACCCCGCCTCTTCTCATCCCCCCGCTCGTTGTCGTCGGTGCCCTCCTCCTTTACCTCCCGTCGTCGTCGTTGTCGTCGTCGTCGTCGCCCTCCTAGTACTCCTCGGTTTTCGGGAGCTCTGGTGCCTCTTGCTGGGTCTTTAGGGCCCTCTGGAGGGATCGGCGATCGAGGCTTTCGGGTGTTCGCTGACCCCGATGGCAAGGGCGCCCTCGAGGGCGTGAAGTTATTCGCGCTTCGCGGTTCGGCTCCGATTCCTCCTCATCCTCCCCTTCTCCCCTGGGAGGCGGCGCGAGAGCGCGAAGTTATTTGCACTTCGCGCTTCGCGCAGCGCGAAGCGCGAAGTTGGGAGCCCTTGGATGGCTTCCCGGAGGGGCTTCTCGCGGCCAGTTCTGGGCCCGCCGCGGCAGTCCGACGTCGGCCCGGGGCGCATCTCTGGACAGGCGCGGGCGATGACCTCGAGGACCGCAGCCCCGACCTTTCCAGCGCGCGGGCGATGACCTCGAGGACCGCAGCCCCGACCTTTCCAGCGCTCTCATCCTCCTCCTCCTCCTCCTCCTCCTCCTCCTCCTCCTCCTCCTCCTCAAGCCTCTTCCTCCCCTTCCTCCTCAAACCTCTTCCTCCTCCTCCTCCTCCCCACAAACCTCCTCCTCCTCTTCTTTTCTTCCCCTCCTCCTCCTTCTCCTTCTCTCGGGGTCGGCAAAGAGGGGGGTGATGACTACGGGGGGTGGATATCATGGCGGGGGCCATGATGTTTCCCCAGATTTCATGGCACCTCTTCTTATTTCATTACGTCCCTGGCCCCCCCGCTGGGCCGCGCACATGCCGCCGTTCATGATTTGCCCCCTCTTGGACACCCCCCTCTTGGTCGCTCCCGATTCTCGTTCTCCTCCTCCTCCTTTTCTTTCTCGTTTTCCTACCCCTGTCCTCCCCGTGCTACCCCTGAAACCTCTTGTCTATCGACGACGACGACGACGACGACGAGGGAGATTTTTGGGCATTCCTGGCCTGGGGACCCCGTGGTCGTCTCGGCGGAGCGCGGCTGGGGTCCCATGGGCCGCGCCCATTATGTACCATCCGCACCGGCCCCGGTCAGGCCCATCCCGCGACCCAAAAGCGGGGAACCGACGCCCTGGTATACCTGGCAGGGCCACGCTCGTGCATATCGGCCAGTCTTGGGGCGGGGATCGGCCTGACCTCCCAGACCGCCTCGTGAAATTTCTTATACGTCATATACACACATCTATGTACACATGTCTGTTAGCTAGCGTGGACCCCAAACAGTGCGTTTCTAGCTATGCTATCTATGTGGTGCTACTGGAGCAATATATGGTCGAGGGTTTGGCCCCCCCCCCCCAATGCTAATGCCATCGGGCCCCCCCCCCTGCGCGATGGTCCCCGCCCGCTGTGGGCGTGGGCGTGGGCGGCGTGTGCCTTCGCGCCGAATCACAGCTGAATGGCCCACGTTCCAAGGTGACCGACGCTCTCCGAGAAAATTCATCATCGTCGGCGTCTTCGCCATCGTCGTCGTCATCAGCCTTTGCCTCCGGAGAGTGGCGGCTACATGGGGGGAACAAGGTAGGGAAGAGAGGGCCAAAAACGAGGAGGGAGGGATGGAGAGGCGGATGGGGGGAGGAGGAAAAGGAACATCGTCGTCGACGGTATATTCACCGTCGTCGCCTCCTTCTGGGTGTGGCGTTGTGTTCCGGTGCTTCAGGGAGCCGGAGCGGACGGTGTCTTCGTCGTCGTTGTCGCCGTCGTTGTCGTCGTCGTCCTCCTCGTCCTCCTCCTCCTCCTTCTCCTCCTCCTCCTCGTCCTCCTCCTCCCCCTCCTCCACCTCCTCCTCCTCCTCCTCCTCCTCCCCTCCCCCATCCCATCTTGGGGGGGGGAAGGGGCGGCCCGAGGACCCTGGGACCCATCCCATCTGGGGGAGGGGCCCGTGGGCCCGGAGCCCGCGATCATATATGTAGCGCAACCTATGTAGAGCGGCATCTGTGGTGCAGTCTAGAAGGTGCAAGTTATGATTTGTAACGTATGTGGAGCCATCTACGATGTGCAATCTATAGTTGCAATCTAGGGTGTGCAGTCTCAGTGTCGCAGTCGATGTGATGCACTTTATGTGGATCAATCAGTGTGTATGTGTATATATATATATATATATATATATATATGTATATTATATAGTGAAACCTTTGGTGCGCAGCCAATGTGGTGCAATATAGGTGGTGCA